CCGACCCAGGTGTAGGACCTTGCACTTGGCCTTGTTGAGCCTCATGAGATTCACACAGGCCCACCTCTCCAGCTTGTCCAGGTCCCTCTGGATGGCATCCCGTCCTTCTGGTGTCTCGACCGTACGACTCAGCTTGGTGTCATCTGCAAACTTGCTGAGGGCACACTCGATGTTGTTGTCCATGTCATTGATGAATATATTGAACAGCACCGGTCCCAGTACAGACCGCTGAGGGACTCCACTCGTCACTGGTCTCCATCTGGACATTGAGCCATTGACCACTACCCTTTGGCTGTGACCATCCAACCAATTCCTTATCCACCGAACGGTCCACCCATCAAATCCATGGCTCTCCAATTTAGAGAGAAGGATGTTGTGGGGGACCGTGTCAAAGGCTTTAAAAAAATCCAGATAGATGACATCTATCTAGATGGTCATAGGAGGTGAAACATCTAAGAGACTACTTCTTCAGTTGGCCTGTACTGAGTACTCGTCAGAGTAATTGTTACAGCTAGGAATAACGTCAGGGCAGAATTTGGGATTTGAGAATACTCCCAACAGAGGAAGCAACCAGTGAATGCAATGCGCAGCCAGTGGCGTTAGTAACTGTTAGAGTTAGGATTAGGGTTACTGTTCAAGACTGCAGAATGCACCTAGTGCATCAGCTTTACTGAGATGGTACACCACGACAAATTCTGAGTTCAGACGAGCAAAGGTCTCAGGGATAGAAAGGAGAGTTTAGGGTTGGAAGACTATTAAGAGTTTGTGTCTGGAAGACACTGGGACCTCAGCTAACAAATGTATTGAGAAAGAGCCATAAGACTAAGTAAAAGGCAAGGTCTCCGGAGTGAATGTATCTTTTGGGACCAAACTGATCACAGGATCATAATAGTGTTGATAGTGTTAAGATATAGGAGTATTGCAGCTTTTTGGGTTTTGTTTTTTTTTTAATTGTTTTTAAGCCTGTTTTAACCCCATTTTAATTGCTTTTTCACATACTGATTCAGTTTAAAGAAGTGAAAACTCTGTATTTCCAAGCATATCTTTTTAAAAAAAATTACAAACTTCATATGTTGTGACTCATTAAATATTAAAAATTAGTTTGTTGGGTTTTTCTCAGTGGAGATGTGTTAAGCAGTGGCACAAATGAATACTGCATAATTATTGAAAGGGGTAAGTCAGCTTCTTGTGTATGTGTCTAATTTGGATTCAGAGAGGATCCTGTACTCTGCGACAGCTGGATAATGTAGTTTTAGTACAGCTGTACACAGTCATAGAGCTGTGATTAGACTAGTATTTTACCCTGGTGATGAGGAAAGAACAGAAGATCTGAAATCAGTACTTTTAGATTGAGTTGTTAGCTTTGCTAACATTCCTGTGGGATGCTGGGTAATATAATCTATTCATGTATGATAATAACTGGGTAACACGATATGAAGATATACTGAGAATTTGATTAGAGAATGGATCTGCTTGCAAAATATGACTAATCTAACTTCAGGTGTCACTGCAGCAAAACAGATGAGTTACAGAAAATTTCATGAACTAAAACACTGATCGTAGGGTTTGGTGAGAATAAAACATTAAAGCAATCGCAAAATTAAGGACATAATGTCAGTATTTCGCATTGTCTCTCAATTATTTCTTCCCTAGTAGAATATTTTTCTCTTCCTTTTTTTTTCCAGATATTTGGTAATAGTGTGACAGATGTTGCTGTTTCTAATGGAATCCTGATTGTAATGTACAGCATGGGTCTAGTCAGGCTCTATAACTTCCAGGCCATCTTGGAACAGGTAATGAAATACAAAATTTTTCATGCAGTCGATGGTATTTTGGGGCAACAAATCATAAATATTCATGTAATGCCACACAGGTACATGGGGAATGGGTCAAAGGATAGTGTTCTTGCCTAAATCTGTTTACAGTCGGAAGATGCAAATGATTACACTATCAGAAAATTCTACCCACAGCAGTTACAGGTGGCAAGACAAGAGATACAGGGTCAGACAGGCACTAAAGTGCATACAGAGAGGAGCTAGGTAAATGCTAGACCAGGGTGTGCTCTTCTTTACACATCTAGTCTGCAATTAGAGCATTAAGGCTACAAACTGATGGGCATGGAAGATTGTTTGACCTGAAACGGAACTGCAGTGAAACTTTTGAGTTTATATTATTCCAATCAAAAATTGAACATTAATTAAAAAATAAGACTTCAACCAGTATCTAATAACCTAATGAATGCAGTAGTAACAGAGCAGTAAACTAAACAGCAAGTAAATATGCATCAATAAAGCTAAATTGTTCTGTGTTATTTTAGTTCATGGAGCAGCCTTTTGATTTGGGACATGAATTCAACTGGAGAGGTCAAGTGGGAGTTGTAGGAAAGTATCCATTTGGTCTTCCATGTAACATTAAAATAACAGGTATTTATTATATTTATATTATATTGGCTAGTGGCTTTTATGGATTAATTATGACTTACTTTGCACCAAGAAAAAACATTAAAATTACTGTACTCGTATTGTGCTGTAGATACATTTCTTGCTTTACAATATAGTAAAAATGTGCTTTGCTTTACTTCTAGTTACAAGAATTAATTACATAGGACTTACCTAGAAAACTAGTACAGCACCTAAGCTATTTGAAAAACTTCATAGCAGTGCATGAAGTGGAAACCCCTTCCTTATTTCTGAGACACAGCTGCTCTTGGGAAAGAGCAATGGCTAGGACAGCTGTTAGTGACATCGCGAAACAGTATACAGTATGTAAGCAAAAGATATGAGAATGTTTAATCTATAGCTTGCAGAGGGAATTCAAGGAGACAGCATACAATTTGTCTGAGTTCCATTTGATAATTCTAAATTGTTAGAAATGTGCCAGTTTCAATAAAATTAATTTCTGAGGAGAGAACAAATTATCTATTAAAAAGAATTCTTATGCCTCAAATCATTAACTTATGAATGTTCTGCCTTATGTAATGACTTTAATTTCTCTGAAACAAAACTATTATTTCTGTGGGTGCATTTGAGATTAGAATTTGTTGCTAAGAATCTTAATGAATGACCAAAGCCCGAGACATTCTTTGAAACTTTTTTTTTTACTTTAAAAATGCATTCTCGCAAGTTCACTCTTGAGGCACTTCCAAAAAAAAAAAAAAATAGTAGGTTTCACCAATATCAAATAATGCACGTTTTTATTTCTTTAATTTTGAATGTTTCTGTGTTAAATGGTTTTTACAGGTGACTGTCCACATAAAAAGTGCTTTTGATCTTTATGTTTGCAAACAGTGTCAGATAATAACAGGCAAATCAAACCAGATTTACATAAACCTGAGGAAATACACAAAGGTAAAATACAGACTTACATAGTGAAGGCTTTGAGTTATAATGTAATGCTTTACCAAAACAAAGTGATAAGCTGCTATAATGGATGTCTCAGGTTCTGCAAAGGGAAATTTGTCCTCAATTTCCTCTCTGTTTCAGCCTGCAAAAGCACAATTTAATGTTAGGGGCCCTGTGGAAAACATGCTGTGGGACCTTTAATAGGAAGCCTATACCAAATTTGTTCTCATGTCTTATATATCATTGTAGTTTTACGTTTTGAGATTTAAAACCAATGTACTGGAGAGAACATTTTTGATCTTGAATCATACTCAAGAATTTGCGGTTAGGAAGTTTTGAACTCATGACAGACATTTGCCATGGCTGCTTTTTGCAGACAGTTGCATTCCTGTGGTTTTTGAGCTGTTTTCTTTTGAGAATGAGATGGCCGACTGACTGCTCAATGTAATGTAATGCTTCAGTGAGTGAGATTTTAACAGTTTCAGAATTTAAGCTTGTATTTACTATAATTTAACTATGTGTAGTTTCCCTGCTTATTTAGTCCTAGCCTCCCTACAGAAATTGCTTGAAGGGATGGCAGTTATTACGGTGCTGGTTTTATGGTGCGTTAGGTACCCAAGAGGAAGTGTGTAGAGATCAAAACTTGTAGGCTACCATGTACCTACCACGTCATTTACAGCTATTGACTGGTAAGGAATTTGATTTTGGTCACAGTGGAAGGAATGGAGAGATACCTATAAGTCTTCATCATGTCACTTTCTGAAAGGTCCAGAACTAAAAACTGTAGCTTGATTTATTATTAGAGAATACAGTAATTTAATTTTAAAAAAAAAAAAAAGGAAGATAGTTTTGCTGATTTTGGGGTGTGGTTTTTTTTTTTTACATTTAAAAGAAATACTTATTAATGCTGCCAGGAACAACTTTATGGCTTTGTGTTTCGATGAGGCTGGAGAGTTTTAAGGAAGTGAATAAAGAAGCTCAGCTGGAGACTGAAAACTGGCAATGCTAGGGAAAGGACTTATAAACAATGAGAACAGGAGGTATTGAGCAACGAGTGCAAGTGACAAACAGCAGGAAAGAGGGAGTTGAGGCAGCAGAGTCACACTGTCGCAGTGGTTTAGGTGGCTATGATCTTGCAAATCTTTGCCAAATAAATGTAAAAAGAAAGGCATATTTTATCAGCAGTCTGTATGGTTTAGGATTGATATATTATTGAAATGCGTTTAAGTCTATCATTTAGTCCATCTGCCATGGAGGGGCCTTGCTACGTATGCTTTATTTACAAAGAAAAAGTAGGGTAAAATGTTAACAAATTTTCTTGACTCATTTTTCATTTTCTGACAGATTTTAGTATCAGTAGGTCCTCTGCTCATGCCTCTGTCTTCCACATTCTCTACATTTTCAGCAGATGCTTTGTTTTTTATAACATATACTTTGTTACATCTTGCACAGGATCTCCCATTTACTATGTGTTAGTCCAAAAGACAGCCACTTTCCAGCTCAGGAAAGACTTCATTTCCATGGGCAGTGAGCTAATTCCTTTCAGTCTAAATGGCTAAGTTGTTGGCAACGTGAGTGAAGGAAAAAGAGAGAAGCACTATGTAAACATAATTTCTGATGTCATGTAACATCTTAGTACCATTGGCTAGGATCTGGATAATTATCTACACTAAGCAGGGCAAGAACAACTCAAAATTTGGAGGAGACCTTTGGGACATGAAAGTACAGATAAGAACCTTGTTCTCCTCACAGTAATTCAGCTTGGGTATTTATATTCTGCCTGTTTAAATGCCCCCTGTAATTGCAGATTTTTTCTACATTTTTTCAATTTTTTTTCCCAGCACTTCTCTGTACTGTTAGAAAGAACGGATCTTCAATCTAAAATTGATTCAGTTATAGCAGCTGTAGAAATTGGTTTTGTTTAGCTAGTTGGTAGAAGTTGTAAAGCTCCGTGCAGTCCAAAGATGCTTCTCTCATTTGGTACCCAGAAGACTTGTAAGAATGGCATATTACATCTCTGTAATTTCTCCCAACTGAACTGAAGGGAAGACTAGATATCTTTTGCCATTAATTACAAAAATTCCTCAGTTTTTATTATTAGCTACAGATTGCATTCATTGTGGTCCATGCTATTTTGTTGTATTATGCAAAATTTGAAGGAATATTCAGATTCGGGTATCCTTCTGCATTTAATTCTGTTATGTGAGATTGCCGCTGTTAGTCTGTTTCCAGCTATTTATCATTATTTTTCCCAAGACATAGTGACCCTTTTAATATGCTTTTTGATCTGTTTATGTGTATGTCCTCTCTCATTCAGATGAGCAGGATTAATTTTAATTGTTTGCTACGCCTTTGCTTATCCAGATCATTTGGAATGAAGTAAGTCAAAGGTATCAGAAGACCAGTTCAGTGTGAAGGTCTGAGAAGGCAGTAACCTTCCACAGGGAACTGCAGATGCGTGCCTGGATGCTAGGAGAGGTAGCATAGCTGGTGCTAGAGAAAAGATCACAGCCAATGTATTGCCACCAGTCTTCAAAAGTTCTGAAGAATTAATAGCTTTAGTGGAATTTAGAATTGTAAGGAACAATGGAATTATGATTGTTCTGCTACTAATGGTGTTAACATTACCGAATATTTGCAGATACCCCACCTTTGCTATTTGAAGCATCTTCTCTGGAGAATACATTTCAAATTGGAGGTTACCCTTGGCATTATATCATCACACCTAACAAGAAAAAGCATAAAGGAGTCTTCCATATTTGTTCTCTGAAAGACAATGCTTTGGTAATATATTCAGATAGCAGCTTCTCTGAAATGAGTGTGTATCACATTTGTCTTCATCTCTTCTTCTGAGTAGTCCTTGAGGTAACAATACTGTTGTTTTCCAGTGTGGTGCTCTCACAGGGATCACCCCACAGTGTTCTATCTGCTGCCCAGTGGAGTCACATATAAAATGTTTTCTTCTGAATTAGTACTGCTTCTGATATTTCCTTCATTCCAATATAATCATAGCACTGTCAGTGCTACACAGCACTGTATTCTTGGCTTAAAAGTGAAGGCTCAAGCAGAATCTCATTACCTGATTCCTTGCATGGTAGCATCTTAACGCGCTTCTGACTAGTCAGCCTACCAAATGGCGTGACTGAAGAAACATTTTAAGTTTTAAGAAATTGCAGAATAAGTTTCCGTAATGTTTGTAGTTTATCCCTGATTTGTACCCTCTCTCTCTCTCCCTAGAAATATTTTATTACTCTGTTTAATCCCTCCCCCTCCCTAGAAAGATTTTATTGCTCAGTTTATTCCAGCATTCCATTTATTTTGTAATATATTCATCATATATTCTTTTGCGTGACCTCTCTGTCTCAGCTTTTCTTTTGGATCTGGATTTGACCTGAAGATATTTCTGTAATACAAGCAGCTTCTAGGCCTGTTAGTTTAGGGTTCTTCTTTAGAAAAACTTCTCATCTGTAAATGTCCTGGTCTTTTACTAGCCTGATCAAATCAATGGTCCCCCTCCTATCTCTTATTTTCAAAACAGATCATTCACAACCATAGCTGAAGATCAATTTTGATTCAAAGGGACCTGTACAGTCCTTTCTCACCTAGTATTTCTACGTGTTCATACATTTGAAAATTTGAATGATCAGGGTCAGCGAAATTTAACAACAAAAACCCACTGCCAAAATCCTGAGATTTTGACCAGCTTGCAGCTGAAATCACAAGCTATCGCAGGCTTACACGCTCCACATGTGTATTTGCACAAAAGAGGCTGACCCTGAGGTTTGAAGCTCAAGTCAAACATTGTGCTAATGCTTTTCTCATGTCTTCACACATCTCATGTCTTTGACACTCAAATTGCTGGAATTGCTGAAGTGTTTGCAGAGTGCAGGCTAAATCTTCACTTTGCTTAGTTTCAGGAGAGGTAGGACCATGTATAGCTGTGGTACAAGGTTATTGCTCATTGCATATTTTAAAAGTTGAAAGTGTTCCATGCAGCATCTTGAGAATCAGAATTGAGTCTTTTTCTTTATTAATTATTATTATTATTGTTCCACTGCCATCCTTTCTGGTCATGATTAGGAGCAATACTTAAAAACCTTCAGAGGTATGTGGAGAGGAGCTCAGTATTTGAGAGTTCTCACTTTGAAAGTAAGACTTTCAAAATACTACTATTCTAAGCTTTCCCTTCCTTCTTCAGGCAAAAAATGGCATACAGGATATGAAGTGCTGTTCACTGGAACCTGATTGGATATATTTCCATCCAGATATGTCAGGTAGAATAATCCACGTGGGACCAAATTTGATAAAGTATGAGCCTTTTTTTTCTGAAATCTTACTTTCATTAGAGAAAAATTTGCATAACTGCATAAATTCAGTAGTTTGACACTTTGCAGTCCAAAACACTCATTAAGCCCTAAGAAACTGCAAAATTTATTAATTTGTCAGAATCAGAGGTTCTGGTAGAAACATCTGCAGATTTCTATATGATGAATGTGGGCACTAGCAGGCAGCACTGGATTTTGATATGAAAAATGTTCAAGGACCACTGTGTTAAAATTTCACAGATAAACAAAATTACAAAAATAAAATTTCAATTTCAGTTATTTCTGATATTTTAATATACCTGATTTTTTACAATTGTAAATACAGAAGTGTGGTTTATTATAATACATGACTTATTTTACAATTTTTCTTTCTCTTGTAGAGTCTTGAAGCTTAAGGAATTTAAAAATAATACAGATCAAATGGAGATTGCAGAAGATTTTACAATTGTGGCCAACAGGGAAAACTGTGTGAGTTTAGTGTCCGAGATCACAATGTATGATTCTGAGCAATACACAGGGGTTTTGCATATGTGAATAATCACTGTGTTTAATTCAAAGTTTATTGAAAGACATTCTGTGTCTTCATTGGACTTTAAGCTGTATGAAAAAAAATTTTGAAAACAGTAACACTTTCAGGATAGCTTTCTGAAACCTCCAGTCTTTTCTTTAGTTTTCAGCATTCTTTATGGTGTGCAGTATAACCATGTATCACTGATATAAAACAAAAGATGGTGACAGATTTCCTTCAAAAAAAGGTTGCCACCAGGTGATAATTGTGTGCATCTCTGATGCTCAGGTAAGTTGATCATACAAATGCAAGAAATGTTTCAAGACTGTCATAACGTAGAGGTAAGTCAAGACAATATTTTGCTTCCAAAAGTCTGTTTCTTTTCCTGGCCATACAAATCTGTCACTGCCTTGTGACAGGTTTGGCATTCATCTAACCCTTGGTGTGAGCCAAATCAGTACACTAAAATAACAGAATAATAACCCAGCAGAAGAGGTGAGTACTCTTCTGCTTGCTTGGTGAGCTGAGCTGGAACAGAGCAGAACTGAATCATTAGTGGGTCAGAAGAGTGTGGAAAGGTAGAACCAAGTGGCAAGGGGATGATCTAAACCTCCTGGTAGAAATGAGCTGTTAAATTACCTTAGTTGTTTCATGAAGTCTTTTGTGATAGAAAATCACAAAGACAATCTAAATGACAAAAAGATTGAAGAGCACACTCGTAAAGAAAGTTTTTTGGTAGTGTCTGGAACTGTCATTTTGCTCCAGCATACAAAGTTACATCTTGCATAAAAGTAAATTTTTATGGTTTATGAGTACTGTAAAGTCCGTGGAAATCAGTGATGCTGATTTTGAAGCTTCTGCAGAAAAAAAGTTTGTGTATTAAAAATATACACTAACTCAGGAATAAAACTTCCATTGAATTCAGAAAGGATAAGCTTTGTCATCTAATGACTTGCCATGTATGTTTTCTAATCCTGTCTGCTGTGCCTTTCCCTTTTGACTTCCATTAAGACACCGATACCCCAGTTTTTAATGTTTCTGGTGTTAATGAAGTCCAGGGGAAGAAGTTCTGGTGGTTTAAGATACTGCTTTCCCCATCTTCTAGAAGTAAGAGTTTAAGAAACAAATTGGTGGTGACTTAGCTGTCCAAATTCTCATTCCAGCATTTTGTCTCCGGTCACTTCTGTCCTACAAATTATGGTAGCTGAGAACTTTTACCACCTCTACAGGACTGAGAATCTCTGAATATGAGTAAACATCAGTAATATCTCAACTAAAGCCACCGAGTTCATGAGCCCTCCTAAAGAAGAGATAGCAGCACTAGGGCCATGCATAGCTAATGAGTAAAACAAGATTGGAGAGATTAAAACAAGGTCAGAAAGCAAAAGACAAGACATGGATACATTGTCAAATAGATAGGAAGAAACTAAAATGCTCCGAAGTCTAGAGCCACTTTTTTCTTTTTCTCTGAAGGTGAACAATGCTGTTACTGTAACAGCTTCTGGTCGAGTGGTGAAAAAGCGTTTTAACTTGCTGGATGATGACCCAGAACAAGAGGTAACTGATGTAGCGAGTAAGAGCAGTTCATGGATTGTTCAAGAAGTTTAGCTAGCCAGAAGTCATTCTTGTTTCAGGTGCAGTGGCTGTGAGCATTAGCTGTGTTCATCTTTGAGTTCTTTATTCCTTTTCTGTGGCTGTCTTTGTCTCTTTAACTTCTAACTGCTTAATTTCCCCTGCCTGTCTGTTGTCTTTTCTCCTTGGTTGATAGTTGTGCTTTGGATAGTCTGTGTCTCTTAAGGATTGATCTTATGCCCCGTGATACCGTCATAACTCCATGCGACTTCATTGGCACAGAAATGAGATGTTAATGTGACAAACCATAACTCTTCTCTAAACATTTCTTATAAAGCATTTTATGAACTGAAAGGAGCATATTTCTTTTTTTCTCTGCTTTAGGTTGCTCTTGTCTTTGATGTAGTATCTCTAAACTATATTTTTCTCTCCCAATTACTTTGATTTTATTGCAAGATAAGGTATTTAACATTTTTCCTTCAAGTGACTTCTTGAGAGTGAAAACACCACGTGCCTTGGTGGTGAGTCTTCAAGAAGTTATGAACAGTATTTTTTAGCTATCTAGAGCTGGAACTGTATCTGCCATAAGCACAACAGTTAAAATTCATCAGTTTCTGGCAGTTGTTTCTGTTCTTTTTTCTGAGGAAACAGTTTTTTCCATGGTAAAAATATGGGACAGTCCAATATAACCCTTAAGATCTGCAGTTTATTTCTGTCCCTTTTTTAAAAAAAAAAACAAACATAAACATTAGAGTCAGCACACTATTTTTTCTCCTGCTGTTACACTTTATTTGTAATTCCAGAAGATATTTTCCCATTATGGAACAGAAAGACTGGCTTGAATTTAAAGAGTGTGTTACCAGGTCATGACAGTGAGACAGAGGCAATTAAGGCAGTTCACAATCTTCACTTTTTGGTCTCAGTTCTTCCCTGTCACATATTCTGTGGAGCGAGAGAGCTCTGAACAGAACATACAGGTGTTCATTTGAATGGAATTACCCTAATATACCCATCCGCTCAAAACCAGTAGTGGTTTTAAGCTATACTGGCTCTAACATGTCTGCTTCAAGAGAGGGCATGGAGCTTGAATATATTTCTTCTGTCACTTTCAAAGTACTTTTTTCTGTTTCCTGTATGATATATATAATATGTATACTTGCACATTAGGATTGTTCAGAACATCACTTTCTTCTATCTTAAGGAATTTTGCTGAAATACCTCGCACAGCTTGTGTTGGGAAAGATGCCTGTTAGGTGTCAGGCTGGCAAAGTGTTCTTTATCAAAGCAGAATACTTAAGAACTAGAATTTTTCCAATTCTGCTTGCACCTGAAAGAAAAAGAGCTATGCAATTTAGGTAGAGGGGCATGTGAATTTACGTTTGATTTGTAAACTTGAGGGTTTGGTTTTTTTCTGAAGACATTCAAAATCGTGGACTATGAAGACGAATTGGATTTGTTATCCACTGTGGCAGTTACTCAAATAGGAGCTGATGGAAAAGCGCACCTTGACTTTCACTGTAATGAACACGGGATTCTACTTAAGAGTATTCCATTACTGGAGTCCTGGGACGTGGTGAGGAGAATTCCTGTCTTTTGTTTATGCTAACTCTTCCCCATGCCTGTTCTCCTACCATTTTTGTTCAGATTTGAAGCAGATACATAAATAGTGTTGCCAAGTGTTGTGGATGAGATTTGTACAAAGTAATAATCGTAACTCAAAAATTGTAAGTATTCCATCAGACAGTGGAATTGATCTGAAAATTCACAAGGGTGAACAACACTGTTACTGTAACAGCTTCATTTATCTGAAAATCTCCATGATTTTAAACTAAGATGTTTTTTATTCGTTGATTCCCTTGGGTTTTTTGTTGGGGGAGGGGTTGTCCATAGGTATTTCTGAAGTATTTATCAACATGAATACCCACCCTCTGGCTAGTTACATCAGCCAAACTTCACAACTTGTAGATAGTCTCACTAGCTTAACTTGAACTACTCATGCATAGAATTAAGCATGGACCTCACCGTGTGTGTGGGTTGTCATCAGCGGCACTGAGTCTAGTTGGAGGCCGGTAACTAGTGGTGTCCCCCAGGGGTCAGTACTGGGCCCAGTCTTTAACTTCTTCATCAACAACCTGGATGAGGAGTTACAATGTACCCTCAGCAAGTTTGCTGATGACACCAAACTGGGAGGTGTGGTAGATAACACCAGAAGGCTGTGCTGCCATTCAGCGTGACCTGGACAGGCTAGAAAGTTGGGCAGAGAGGAACCTGATGAGGTTCAACAAGGACAAGTGCAGGGTCTTGCACCTGGGGAGGAACAACCCCATGCATCAGTACAGGCTTTGGGTGGACCTGCTGGAGAGCAGCTCTGTGGAGAGGGACCTGGGTGTCTTGGGGGACGACAGGTTGACCATGAGCCAGCAGTGTGCCCTGGCTGCCAAAAAAGCTAATGGGATCCTGGGATGCATTAGGAGGAGTGTGGCCAGCCGGACGAGGGAGGTTCTCCTTACCGCTTGTTCAGCCTGAAGAAGAGAAGGCTGCGAGGGGACCTAACAAATGTTTATAAATATCTGAAGGGTGGGTGTCAGGAGGATGGGGCCAAGCTCTTTTCAGTGGTGCCCAGCGACAGGACAAGGGGCAATGGGCACAAACTGCAACACAGGAAGTTCCGTCTGAACATGAGGAAGAACTTCTTCCCTCTGAGGGTGACGGAGCCCTGGAACAGGCTGCCCAGGGAGGCTGTGGAGTCTCATTCTCTGGAGATATTCAAGACCCGTCTGGACAAGGTCCTGTGCAGCCTGCTGTAGGTGACCCTGCTTCGACAGGAGGGTTGGACTAGATGACCCACAGAGGTCCCTTCCAACCCCTAACATTCTGTGATTCTGTGATTTGGTGAGATGGATTGGGCTGTTCATAGGGTCCAAGTTTATGTGGGAATCCAACTTTGACACCTCTTTTATCACTGACTGCGTAGGCAGCTTAGGCTCTTAACTCAGATGCTCTGAACTGCACTTAGATTCCTAAAATAGACATGTGGGAAACCTCTCAAAGTTGTAAAATTCTGTCCTTTATTTGGAAGGAACCTTCCAGATTCCTGTCTGGAAGCGCAGTCTGTGTATCCACAAAAAATTCCTGTCTGATCATGGAGGTCACCAGTGTTCAAGGACAATGGTACAGGTATTAGCAAGTTGTGGAAATGGAGACTGCAATCACGATTTTTTTTCTCTCATTTCAGACTTACAGTCATGAAGTTTACTTTGATAAAGACCTTGTATTACATATAGAACAGAAGCCTAACAGGAGGTTCAGTTGTTACGTTTACCAAATGGTCTGTGATACTGCAAAAGATGATGAATGTTCAAGCCATGAAAAAACAGAAAGAGCGTTTTGTAAAAAAGGAGGGAGAATTTTTGAATGTTTTTAAGACAAACAACAACTACAGAGACTTCGGTTTGGATGTTATTTAAGGACTTCATACGTATGAATTAGTCAACTATTGTTTTTCAGGCAGGATTTAATCTTAACATTTTGTACTACTACATTGAGGTTTTATTTCTTTTTTTCTCTGTAACATTGTACACTTGTCTGTAGTCCATAATGGCTTTTCATGTATTCACCAGTTCATCGTTAATGCCAGATGCAGCATTTATTGCTTCTCTTCAGCAATTGGATTGAAATACTGGACATGAAGGACAAAGATGTGGACTTACTGATCATCTACTATCTGCTGCAGTCTGTCTTACATAGTTTTACCTCTGTGACTTTAATACAGGCTCTTAATTAAGAAAAGTATGTAAAACTGTATAGGATAAATCTTATATGTAGTATAAAAATGGCAGAGTTGCCATTAAACCACTTAGACAAAATCCTTCTGTTGGTTTAGTGTGAGATATAAAATCACTCATGTTTTCTGATTGTGTTTGTTTTGATATAAAGAGAAGTATTAATAAATTATGGGGGTTTACTACCTTTCATATCTATCTTTATATTTTTTATATATTTCCCAAGCAATTCTTTGCTTCTCCCTGTGTCAAGGGTCAGGAGTTGTTCAGTCTGAGCCAAAGCTACCAGATGCTCAGCCCGATCACTGCGTGCTGCCTGTCTGATGCATGGGAGTTCCATGTGATATATTCAGATTCCGCAGAATGCAAGCTTTCATTTTATTTTAAAGAACACCCACAACAACAAAACACAGGCTGTAGGTGATAAAGAGTGTTTCCAAGTGCAAGCCAGAGATGGGCTCAGGAGAGTAGCTCTTGGGGGGTGACCACCGTCTGATTTCTCACTACCACCACCATTATCATGAGCCTGGTAATTCTAAACCCAAGTATTTCTTTTCACTGCAACCTTTACTAATGAAGTGTGGATCATTCTAGCTGATGCAACAATGAAGAGCTCTAGAAGCATTATAAAAATTATCTATTCTGAGATTTTAGAAAAAGCGTAAGGCAAAAGAAAAAGTGAAATGCAATTGTGTAAAGAAAAAGCAGCACAAAAGGGAGATCTAAGGCTTCAATAAGTTTTCACTTCATGTCCAGGAAAGTGCATCTGTCCGTTGTCTGCTACTATATAAGTAACTCTGTCAGTAAGATAGGAGGGTAAAAATTAATATGAATCTATACTCGTAGGCAGAAGACCCAACTCTTAAGCAGATACTGATATTTTATGCTCATTTCTGCTGGAATTATTAAAGCAATTCCTCCCAGAGCAAGACATTTAAACTTTGTTGTTTATTAAATAGTGCAGATACTGCTCATCAAGAGTTTGCTATACTTTCCAGTGACTGTTATTTTTAAGTTATTGCAGACTTTTGCAGTGGTATTCTGCTAAATCAACAATTGTACATCAGTATCCATCTTTGGAGAAATGCAGCAATTTGTAATGACCAAAAGGCAGCCCAGACTTTGATGAAGAAGATTGTGGGCTTCATGTAAGAAACTCTATCATTTTAAATGCACAGTGTGTTGCTGCACTACAGATAATGGCAGATGTTCCATCCTGGAAGGTCACACATAGACATTTTAATTCAGAAACAGGAGAGATGTTTCTGCTTAATTTAAAACACCTTGAAAGCTATTTAAGAATAGAGAATCCAGAATGTCTAGCCCTGAACATGTCTATGAGTATATCCCCAACCCTCCTTATGAATGGGCTGAGATGCACAAGAGAAGCAGAATCACTAAATGCTTATAGGTTGTGCTTTTCCAGCTGTGCACAGAAGTGCTGCCTTCTGTACCTATACAGAGCCCCAGAAAATTCTAAAAATAAACTTCTGTTTGAACGGAAGGAAAATCCTGACCACAAATCAGTAGTTTTTTACATTATTAAAAATAACCCTGTATCTGAACCAAACACAAATACCTGCATGCTTGGTGGCAGCACACCTGAATCAACAGCTTTTATTTCAAGTTAAATTTTGAAACAAAACCCATCCACCAGAAAAAGGTAGTACTTTACTTTGCCAGGAGATTTTATATGTAAGCGTTTTTTGGTAACTGTTGCTGACAGGGCTATACTATTGTGCCGTATCAAATTGATATGAAATTTGAATAAATACAATAGATCTGACCTGTAGACCTACCGTTTGATGTCCATTTATGATGATTCTAGAGCACTTATCGTTATCTTTTTCATAATGTAAATTAGGTACTTGGAAATCTCTTACACACTCTGAATAATGCAGTATACTGAAGAATAACAGTATTCTTAAAGTGGAGAAATTCTGAGGATATTCATGTGGTTTCCATTACAGAGGAAAAAATATTCGTGTGCACATGCCCAGCATAATTATATCTGCAAGCACCAAAGTGTGACATTAGTACAAGAAAAGAGAAACAAAATTGCTTTGAAAAAACAGAAGTAACTTCTTCAAATGTAGTTTATTTCCCATTTATAAATTCACAAATGAAGATGAATAAAATACAGAAGACAAAAATATTCTTCACTTCTCATAGGCAGTAGCTAACTGCTTTATGATCAGGAAACCCATTTGCTGATAGTTTTCTGTTTTACAAAAACTGGACTAAGGAACTACTAGTGTGAAATTCTGAGTTCCCTTGCTGTGCGTCTCGGGGTGCTTACTGCTCACGCCTCAGCTTCCAGAGTCCGCAGATAAAGCCTCAAGTAATCAGATCACGTGCAGTCTCAACCAGCGGGACCAAGTGCATGCTTTAAAAGATCAAAGCTGAAAAGCTCATGCTTCCATTTTTTTCACTAGCACTATATACAAGTATATATGTATATAGGTATATACATACATATAAAAATGTATATATATGAACTGTTAACATGAGTAAAGATTCTCCAACATGTATTTCAAACATAGAACTGGAGGGTTCTTAACTACTTTTGCCAACATTCCCGGTTAGGTAACTTCACCCAAACTTTCTGCATTTTCAGTGTGAAGAAATGTTTATTTTTTTTTCCTGGATATGTCCCGTTACTTTAACAGCACAGTTTCTTGCTCATTTTATTCTCATTTTGTCTTTTATTTTCCTCTTGTTATTGAGAAAAATACCATTTATATTACTTAACAGTAACTGAAGACTGACAAAAACTCACTAGTAAGAAATTTTTTTTCCTTGTGGAACTGACAGCTATTCCACACGATGGAACAGCTAATGAGCAAATTCATTTGCTTCCCAGTCATGAGAAAGATGGCTATTAGGAATACCTGCTAGAATGGACACCCATATAGGGTGGCATGTAGACTGGGTGTTTTCTTAGAGAACAGTTGTGAGGAAGTGCCGTTAGCTGCTTCGAGCAGAGTCTCTGGGCACTCTGCCTACAAAAGGGAAAATGTTGGTCTAGTAAGTATAAAGGTCACGGACTAGTGAATTCATGTTGGGTTTCACCTACGGTTGTTTGACACAAGCTTTCTGCTCTTTCCAAAATACACGAAACCTAAATGATACAAGCCGTAAAGGGGAAGAAGTAGTCAAAACGTGGTTTTCTAAGGCTGAACCACAAAAGAATTTACAGAACAGCGACTGAGTTCTTGAATAACTGCCAAGTATTGCCACAGTCACCAGTACAAAACCTTTAAAGAGCTTTTTTTCTGGAAGGTGCATGAATTGATCTAATATGTATGTAGCAATGCCTCACTAACAATAATTGCATAGCATATCTATACCTTTTCTGAACCTTTTATTTACCTCCACGAACTCAAGAAATTTAATCAGTCCCTGCTAAAACAGAATTCAGACACTTCTTGCAAAAATGTTACTTTTGAAGAACAGATGAACAGTATGGTAACTGTCAACCAGCCCTGTTCATACTTGGTGAGTTTCTGTGTATCAACATGAATGCCAACTATCTTCTGATATGCAGGCTGAATAGGTTATGAGTACTAAAAGAAGGAAACAAGTATTCCAGTATTTAAAATCAATGTTAGAGATATTTAAGGGAACTTCTTTGTTTTGCAGCTATTTCACAATCTTAGATTTTCAGAGAGGACCTCTTGAAGCTTTTTGGTTGCTAGACTTGGCATTTACACAACTGTAACTTTAGTATTTGTTTCTGTTTTACTGAGGTTACAAAATGATGACCAAAATAACCTTCAGGAGCTCCAAAAGACTTCTCTGCCAACACATGCTAATGCTTATAGATCAAATAAACCTGAAGTAGTCAAACTGCTTGCTTTGGATAATAAGAGATTAAAATGAACTGCAAAAACAGGGTTTTTAAAAAAATAAAAGGAACTAGGTATCCTTGCAGAGTGAAGAGGTACAGTGGTACAATTGTTAAGAACTGCTTTGGTTGGTATAGGTTAACAACTCATTTAGTAAACTGGGAGTACAAATGCCTTATTGCTCCTTGAGTGGGGAAGGAATATTGTGTTCTTAGGAATATTATATTTTTAGGGAAAAGTAAGTGCACATTCTTCTCAGGAAGAGATAAAGGAAGCATGGAAGGGGAAGCTAAAATTCACTAGAATTACACTGCAGAGTGGCTCGAGAGCTCTGGCTTACTTGAGGTGCTGCAGAAGCAGCAGTGCACTCCACATGACCTGCAGGATTGCAGGCTCACCAGCCCGTCCCCAGCAACAACTGCTTGCCAGACTCCAGACGGGAAAATTATTCTGTTAACGTGTTTACTTGGATGCTCCTCATCCACACTCACACATTGGCAGTTTTCCTGTCTATCTTCTGGATCTGCAGTTAGCCTTAACTTTGGGTATGTACGTATGCTGCCTGCCTCTAACATGCAACTTGCAACGTGGCTGCGGCACATTTCCATGCTCTGGGGCAGAGATCTAGGAAACTCCCAACTGTTGACACAACACTCTTCCTATTTTAGTCCTTTATAATGCCACTGCCCCCTCTTTCTACTGCCAGGAAGCTGGCTTGGTTTTGTAACTGCGTTATAAACATCTGTTTTGTGGACCAAAGCAGCATACTTCCAGCATCTCGACTTCAACAGAATCACTTGTTACTTTCTGCTTCCATGATGTCCCAGTGATCAGCTAGCTGGACAGAGAAGCAAAAATCGGGTACCAGAAGTGCTACCCTTTATTTGCATTTGACAGATGTAGGAGGAATTTCCCAGCCAGTGCCTAGGGACTGAAAAGATAGGAAGGACTGGCTTC